AAGACTGAAATGTAAGCTGCCAAGCATACTGAATTAAAACGTTTTTGCTCTACAAATACATACTTGCACAAAACTTGCAAAAAAGCTTTTAATTTAGTGTAAACAAATTTTGCTAAAAAAAAAAAAGGGTCAGGCTACATACAAAAGCCTTTTGCCTTAAAACAGAATCTAAAAAGTCACTATTGAAGCAGAGTATTTTTCAACATAGTGACTGGGCGAGATGTTTCCCAGCCAAGAAAATTTATCACCTAGTAAATGGAATTTTAAACTACTGGGCAACAATGATTTTTTGATAAATCATGACTTTTTTTTCTACCATATAATGGCTTTCACACTTGTAAACAGTAAATGGCTACCTTTTGTCACCCAGTAGAATTTGTTTAACAAATGTTCTGTATTGAAGTCATATAGACATTAAGTGCAGATACATTTAGGACCAATAAAAGAAGGCATTTCTTTACACACACAGCCATGGATGTCTGAAACAAACTGCCCAACCATGTTATTGAAGCTGAATATAGAGATATCCCAAGAAACAGCTTAAAAACATTCCTGGTACAACAACCAAATGATCAAGATTGGCCGTCTCTCATTTGTAACTTTTATATTCTTAATTGGCAATTTTCACCCATAATATATTAGCCTTGCCATTTTGGAGTTCACTGAACTAGCTGGTCATTCCCCGGCTCTTGGTGAAGGTAACCCTGCTTGTTCACTACTTCTTTTCCCAGACTTCACTCTTGCAGTAGAATCTGACACAGACAGTGAATTCCTCTGGATATATTTTTTCTTGCATGTTGCTGTCACTATTTTCTGGATTTCAGCACTGCATACAGCACAACAACCTTGTTTTCTGAAGGGTTTCTTTCTGATTTTCATCAATTTTCTAGTACCTTAGAATCTTGATTTTGGAATGGCTGTTTGAATTTTCTTTTCTTTTACTTAGCCAAGCTCATTATATTGGTCATATAGGCACTGTGGCTTGGCACCTAGAAGGGTTTGCTTACGTAGCTGTAATTGGAATAATCTGACATGTAGTTTGTTTTTCCTATGATAATTATGAAAGACCTTTTTTGCCATTGTTCCATAATACAGAGCAGTTAAAAACAATACAAAAACACACTGTTCAGGCCTACTTTAAGAATATTCTTCTATGCACCATCACAAATGCCATTTAGTTTTCATATTTCATGAAAACTGGCATGACAAACCATCCATTTTACAACCACACAGTCAACAATAATGTGGATATACAAGAGGGCACAAAACAAGATATAAAGGAAATTATGTTTGCCAGCTAATATCACATTATAAAACTACAACAAAAAATTGTTTTATATGGTTTCTATATATAGTAATACAAGAAGTTTCCCTCTTAATTTTTCAGTTTCCCCAAAAATTTCTAAGAAGGAAATTGCTTATTGACAGAAAATTCCCACCCCTGTATGCACAGATATTACTTCTTAAAAAATGTAATTGAAAGGAAAATAGTATTAGCAAAGTGAGCATATTAGGCACTCAATATCTGAAGGCTTGTAAATCCTGCTACAGGCTGAAGGTTTGTAAATTCTGCTATAGGCTGAAGTCTTGTAAATCCTGGTATAAGCTGAGGGCTTGTAAGTCCTGCTATACACTGAAGTCTTGTAAATCCTGCTATAAGTTGAAGTCTTGTAAATGCTGCTATAGGCTGAGGGCTTGTAAATCCTGGTATAAGCTGAGGGCTTGTAAGTCCTGCTATAAGCTGAAAGCTTGTAAACCGTGCTATACACTGAAGCCTTGTAAATCCTGCTACAGGCTGAAGGCTTGTAAATCCTGGTATACACTGAAGGCTCATAAGTCCTGCTACAGGTTAAAAGGCTGTAAATCCTGCTACAGGCTTATGGCTTGTAAGTGCTGATATAAGCTGAGGGCTTGTAAATCCTGGTATAAGCTGAAATATTGTAAATCCTGATATACACTGATGGCTTGTAAGTCCTGCTACAGGCTGAAGGCTTGGAAGCCCTCCTATAGGTTGAAGGCTTGTAAATCCTGCTATAAGTTGAAGGCTTGTAAATCCTGATATAGGTTGAAATCTTGTAAATCCTGGTATAGGTTGAAGTCTTGTAAATTCTGCAAAATGCTGAAATATTGTAAATCCTGATACACACTGATGGCTTGTAAATGCTGCTATGGGCTGAAGTATTGTAAATCCTGCTATAAGTTGAAGGCTTGTAAATCCTGCTTTTAGCTGAAGGCTTGTAAATGCTGCTATAGGCTGAAGTATTGTAAATCCTGGTATAAGCTGAGGACTTGTAAATTCTGTTTATAAAATGAAGGCCTGTTTGTTCTGCTAAAAGTTAAATGCAACAATACAGTTAAGGGTAGTTCAATTTTTTGTTTTTTACATTAAATAATGCTTATTTCACTTTAAATTTACATCATACTTTATCAGATAGGACTGTGCAGACTGTCAATCCTGTAATACAACATAAATGAAAATAAACAGTGCCAGAAATCTCATGTAATGTTAGCTTAGATTTATTCATATATAGATATATATATATATATATACCATTAGCACAATGAAGCAAATTGTTATATTTTGCTATTTACATGAACAAAAGACTAAAGGAGAAAACCTAACTGACAGAAGAAAGACCAAGTATTCATTACAGTGTAATCAAGTTACCATTCATATCCATTACAGTGTAATAAAGTTACCATCCATATTCATTACGGTGTAATAAAGTGACAATCCATATTGATTACAGTGTAATAAAGTTACCATCCATATTGATTACGGTGTAATAAAGTGACAATCCATATTCATTACGGTGTAATAAAGTGACCATCCATATTCATTACAGTGTAATAAAGTTACCATCCATATTGATTACAGTGTAATAAAGTGACTATCCATATTCATTACAGTGTAATAAAGTGACTATCCACAAAAAATCCCAGAAACTACATTATAAGTAGTGTATGGTTGAAGAATTTGTTTGTTTGTTTGAGGTTAAGCACAAAGCTACACAATGGGCTATCTGTGCTCTTCCCACCACAGGTACCGAAACCCGGTTTCTAGCGTTGTAAGTCCACAGACATACTGCTGCGCCACTGGGGGACAGTTGAAGAATTAAAATATATATTTCACAGTAGCAAGAAACAGATGCAAGATAAAAGACAATTAAATACCTTGAGGGTTTTTCAAGTGACAGTAAAATTTACATCATGGTGTTTTTATGATGCAAACAAGTTCCTTTTTTAAACAATTTACCAAGAATATCTATTACAATTTTGAAATTACAGTATTATGCACCAATATGTCACAACCTGTGTTCAATGTGCTTGTTATCATTCTCAGTCACCATATCAAATAAATGAAGCAACTGCAAGCATCATCTGTAGTGTACCTGAGTGTTCCATATATCTAGCTTAACATTTCCTGTGTACTGATATTTAGTGCACCATATATCCAGCTTAATATTTATTAGGTATAGTGAGAAGTTTATTGTTAAAAGACACCTAGAGCATGACCAAAGCATCTAATGGCATAATTAACAAAAAATATTTACTTTGAAAAAAATCTACAGCCGTCTTCAACAAAACTAGGGAATCTTCATAACATTAAAGGACAACAATGGACTTTCTGGTCCAACTGAGGTGTTCAGAGCTCTTAATCTATCCTCATATAATAACATTTTCATCACAGGTATCACCCTAGTAGCCCTTCTCTGAACCCTTTCCAACAATTCAATGTCTTTTATGGAGTAAAGAGCCTGAGACTGAAAACAATACTCCAAATGTGGCCTAACCAATGACCTATGTAAGACATTATAACCTCAAAACTCAAGGGCTTGAGTTTTGGGTCTCATTTTGAAAATATTACAACTTTTGTAGGTGATCCTGTGTGCTAATTACTTAACCTGGACATTATAATTTCTTTAGACTTGTGTTCAATATTTCTGTACATACAACCAAAAATCCTATTTACCTTGCCACTATCAACAGCACCTTCCTTGGATGACTTAATACAGTGATAAATCAGAACATCAAGATCATTTGTTCCAAAATACTATCATCCCTCTCACTACAGGTTGGTCAAAGTGTGCATGCCCTGACTTTTTAAAGTATGAATCAAAATTAAATAAATTACTTTATTATCATTTTATATGAATAAACTTGGCATCAAAATGCAATTAACATATCAAATTTGAATATAAATTTTAAGTTCTTAATTTTATAAGGAAATCTTTAAAAATCTGCAATCTCCCCTAGTATAATGAATTGTGAATTTCATTCTCTAGTTCTTCTCTCTTCTCTAATTTACTTATCACCCTCCAAGAATTATGGGATTTAATGTAAGTTACTCATAACAATATAAATATTACTCAGGAAAAGCATAAATATTTATAGCCTTCAGTTTAATTTGTTTATAGAACCATAAACTCGAAAATAAGGCCCACTTGCTGCACCCACCTGTTACATCCTCTCTTTCTTAAATTGCCAATAGTTCTCTCTTATGTTTTATACTACATTATTTATAACCAATAGAATCCCAAAGTTTTAATCTATCAAATTACATATTACATTACATTGTTTTCTGTTTGGAGAATTGTCTATTTCCTGGTTCAGTTTCAAATTTGTTTTCATGGAAATCACATTGACTAGCTTAATTAAATTTTTAAAGGGTCTTATCACACACTTAGAAAAGCCAGAAAAATTAGAATAGTTATAGGACATTTGCTTTGTGCATGTTATTATTCTGTGTTCTTAAGCATATTATTTAATTAAATAAAAATTATTTTGTGCAGTAGTACCATTAGTGTAAAAAAAGTAGGCTTAAGTTTCCATCAACAGCCAACAGCAAAAAAGACCCAGGTAAGTACCATATTTCTTGTTTTTCATATGTATTTCTTATTATTATAAAAGTAAATAAAATGTAAATATTAGAAACTTATTAAGTTCAATAAGTTCAGATAAGGTAAGCTAAAGAAAAAATAATAAGGTTTACTCATGAGCAGTTGGTGTGTTACATAATTTAATACTGTAATGTAAGCTACACATTCACCTTGTGATTTCCAACTTGTTCAAAGGACAATAAAACATTAAAATGTAAGTAGATATAGATGTATACTATTACAAGCTTACAGCTATTTAGAATAAACAACTGTAGTTTCCTGTTACAATTTGCAATCATTCTAGACAGAAAAATGGGTAATTTAGATTTATTTCATATTTTTATGGTGGTTATGAGGTTGGTCAAGCTGACTAAATGAATAAAGTTAAGTTAGAGAAAATAACCAATAAAATATAGTTTTACTGAAAAAAAAATGTTTCATATTTATTTAAGAGTTTTTAAGAGATTATGCAAATGAAATTTGAAAATTTTCAGATGAAGATATATTTTTTAATCTTAACATGAAAATCACTTTGCACTTAATAGCAGTCAACACATCAACTCCATATATTCACGGAGAAATTTTTGTACAAGCTCTTAATTAAAGATTCTCATTTTTTGTCTAAAAAGGTTTGTCATGTTTCTGAAAGCTTGAGAAATTTCATGAAGATACATAAAACATATTAAAATTGATAGCATGGAAGCTTTAAATGTCAATTTGGGATCACAAACTCAGTCAAATCGACCAAGTCCATCAAAAATATACCCATAATTTAAATTGTGATATTCCACATACATTACCTTGCATTTATTATAATTAAAAGCCATCTGCCATTTATTTACACAACTCACCAAATAATCCTCCTCACAGCCAGCAACACCCAAAACTTTAATTCTAATGTTATCAGCAAATTCAAATAATCTGTTGGCCATTTCTTCATCTCTGTCATTGAGGTAAATCAAAAAGAGCAAAGGTCCTAACACTGAGCCATGAGGTACCCCAATCGTGAAATTACTCCAACTTGATTGAATTCCATTTATAACAACCCTCTGCTTTCTTCCAGCTAGCCAGTTTCCTATCCAATAAGCCAACCTGTCCCCCCACACCTTCAGAGATAACTTTTTTAACAAGCCTTATACATGGTACCTTGTCAGATGCTTTCTGAAAATTCAGATACACCTGTACCCTCATCTACATAAGCAGTAACGTTTTCAAAGATGTCAAAAGATTTATAAGGCAAGATTTTCCCTTAGTGAAACAATGTTGACTATCAAATAAAATTATAATCTTTGTTAAATGACTTTGCAAAGCATCTTTTATCAGACTTTCCAAAACTCTTCCCACAACTAATGTAAAACTAATAGATCTATAGTTACTGGGACAATTCTTATCACCTCCCCAACTTCCAATCTTCTAGCACCTGCCTTCTGTTCAAGGTCTTATAAAAATAAAAACAAGTGGCTCACATGTCTAATTTTTAACCTCTTTAAAAACCTTCAGTTTCTTTATACACACTATTTTAAACAATTTTTTCTAAGGACCCTTGAACAAAAATAAGTAAGTATTATGTCTCATGATGGAAGATCAGTAAGCAAGTGAACAGCACTATGTCTACAACTTCAGGTTGTTCAGCATGATTTGGAAATTAATTGTTACATTTTTTTAAAGTACAAAATACGTTAACCTACAGACTTTTTTTTATTTGGCATACTAAACATTTCCATTTATTTTTCACAATAGACATCCATGTAAATCAAAAAGGGTAAAGGTCCTAATACTGAGCCTTGAGGTACACCACTCATGACATTAGTCCAATCTGATAGAACTCCATTTATAACTGCCCTCTAATTTCTTCCATCTAGCCAGTTTTCTACCCAATAAGTCAATCTATTCCCCACATCTACAGAGATAACTTTTAACAAGCCTTTTATGTGACACCTCGTCTTGACAAACTCATATCAACTACTTGATTTTTATTGAAGGAGATATTTCAAGGTCTCATACTTCCACCCTCATAGTTACTTATTAATTTCCTCTTTCCTCTCCCTCTAGATGAAATTGTCCTGCAAGTGATGTAGTGAAGAGACATGATATTAATAAGCCTACTGTCATGGTTCAATTTTATGATGCTGCCAAGAAATTTTTTAAATTCATTCTGAAAATAACTATTAAACACATTAGCACTTTATTATTCCTCTCATCTATCTATAAGATTCTGTACAACATTGTACACTTTCTTTTCAAAATTATGTCTAAGTTAGATGTGTCTATTGGACACACCAAGCCATTTGAATTATGTTATTATAAATTTAGAAACATTTATAACTTTTCCTTGAAATTGAATAATATGAACATTTGATTCATGCTAATCTTATGTTCATCATTAACTCTATTCATGAGGTTAACAAACTCTTTGTATTGCCACATGATTGACCAAAATACTATTTCTGTGTTTTATTACACCACAGTAGACATTTTTTCATGTATCTCATACACCTATATATAAGTGGATTCTTTTTTATCGTCTCTATATATGACTCCATTAAGATCAATAGCAAAGTCGTAAGTGGTCAGGTTATCAAGAGCATCTTCAATGGCCGTTTCAAGTGTTTGAGACGTGATGTATGTAGAATTCATTTTCTGAAACGAAAAAAAATATATCACTTTCTACTTAAAAACTAAACCAACATCAAAACAACAGTATGCAAATGACCTATTACAAGTCACTAACAGTATTACTGAAAGTAAGATGCTTTGTCTTCTAACACAACAACTCCTTATATCATCTAAGTTACAGAATTTTATCACAGATCCATTATTGTACCCATTAATAACAAAGAGGTTATCACTCTCAGTTTCAAAAACTTTTTAGGAAACTTTCCATTATAACCTAAAATTACACAACTGAAGATCCTTTGCCACTAAAAGTTGTCTCAACCTTTGTTAATAATCAAACTACACATTATGAAATCTGTTATCAAATATTGAATATCGAGGAATCAAATTTCTATGCACAGAAATACTATTGCTTACTTTCTCAACACTTTCCTTTTCTTGATACTTACATATCAAACAACTTTTCTTTTTAAGCAACATATATATCTTTGTATTATTATAGTCATAAAATTCGGAAATACTAAGTTTAATTTTTTTCTTTTTTACCAATCACTGAGAAATTAATTGTTTTTGTCAAATAATGACATTAATTTGTAGTCGTACGTGAATATTAAGGATTTAACCAATACATTTGAACAATCTGATCTTACATATGTTAAAAAGGTTTCTACCTTTTCTTTTAACACCAGTTCATCCAATTTCTTCCTCTCTTCTTGGATTAGCTGACTTAAACTCTGCTCAGCTTGAGAAAGTTCATCATCAAGTTTAGCCATATCACATTTTCTCCTTGCCTTTCTGAAATACAAAACAAATATAAATTATTAAGAACCATTTTAATAAATAATTCAATTATTATTCCATTAATAGCACAAAGAATGCAGATCATTTTTAGCCGATCAAATAATATATTAGATGGGAAGAATAATCATGAACTCTTCAACATTCCGTTCATGGAAGAAAATTAATACTAAACTATATATTCCTTAGTGTTCTGATATTACTACTAAAAATTACTCAGTTTAGGAAGTAAGAAACCTGTACACAACTATACAGAATCATTCCCACTACTAACATTACTTTCTTCATATTAGTGCAAGTACAGGAACTAAGGAAACACAAAACATAATATTTTATCGTTTACCATGAATTCTTTGCCATGAGTGGGAAAGAGCACATCACATGGTATGAAATATTTTCCACCATTACCTTGAAAGCTGAGCAGCATCGATGCATGAGTGATGTCAAAGCAGAACACTGCAGACAACACTTTTTTGCAGCACAGTGAAAACATGCAGATCTATTTAGGCCTAACCATAAACAATTTTTTGAAATCCTAAAATGAATGTGGACAGTTTTCAGGGTTTTAGATTTCACAGATGAAGAGCTGTTGATTAAGCAGTAGAAGTTTGCATATGACAATATTTTTCAGCACAGTAGACAAACGCACTGATCCATTTAGACCTAACTTACAAACAACATCAGAATTCTTGCCAGCATTCCAGGCAAATTTTGTGAAATTAGACAAGTGTGTACTTTATATACATGATCACGGAAAATTTAATTTTGAAAATTAAACAATTTCTAAATCTTATTGATATATATTGATTCTTAAAATGAGATCAAATTTTCAAGGAAATGCTAAACATGTTGGCTAAATATAGTACGTGACAGTGCTAATTAATCAGATTTCAGTACAACTGAAACAGAAGGGAGGTATAGAATAAAATAATTATTGACTGGTGATTTGGGACAACAGATCATTTTTGCCCTCAGGACCAATCAATAATTTTTCAATGATAAACCATAAGCGAACTGCTAAAGTCAAGATATAATAATTGACTGGTGATTTGGGACAACAGATCATTTTTGCCCTCAGGACCAGTCAATAATTTTTCAATGATAAACCATAAGTGAACTGCTAAAGTCAAGATATAATTATTTAACACCATATATTTCTTTTAAGTAGTTTTAACAATTTCATCCTAACGTATTATGCAGAATGTATGATTTACATAACAATATAAAACTATGTATGTGGTTAAAAAAGAAAATTAGGAAATCCACAATGGCTTACAACAAACAGCTGACTAACAGTGTTAACACTAAAAACAATGATATTTTGTGTATGTTAGAGGTAAGTAAAATGTTAAAACGATGATTGGGCCCTTAAAGAATGCTGATGGCAAGGACTTGAAGACTGAAATGGCTGAGCTCTTAAATGTTATCTTCTTTTCTATTTTTTATAAGAGAAGATATTAGCAATATTCCTGACCATGAGTTTTCTATGAACAATTCTGGAATTGACCTCAATCATGTTGATATTAATCATTTGGTGGAATCTAGAAAGACTGAGAGATTAAAAATAAATAAAGCACTTGAGCCAAACAAGATTTTCCCATGATTTTAAAAGATGTCAAGTATCATACAATATAAGGGAGTCTCTTTCTTTGGTTTTTGGAGGTTGGAACACAGTGGGTAGGTGTTTGAGAAATGGATAATTGCTAATGTTACTCCTATTTTTAGACAGCATAAACTATAGAGTCTGATAAAAGCAGCAGTACAAAATCATTTAGTGAAATATAGTATCATAAATGAAAACCTACATGAATCAACTATGGGAAACTATGCCTTACTAACCTGTCATGTTTTTCAAAGAGAAACTTTGCGTTGTTTGTTTGTATTGAATTTCATGCAAAATTACACAAGGGCTATCTGCACTAGCTGTCCCTAATTTAGCAGTGTAAGACTAGAGGGAAGGCAGCTAGTAATCACCACCTACCGCCAACTCTTGGGCTACTATTTTACCAACAAATAGTGGGATTGACCACACGTTATAACACCCCCATGGCTGAAAGGGCAAGCATGTTTGGTTGGATAGTGATTTGAACCCACGACCCTCAGATTGCGAGTCGAATACCTAAAACCACCTGGCCATGCCAGGCCCTAATTTTGTCTGCTAATCTGTCATGTTTTTTCCAAAGGGAAACTTTACCTTGCTAACCTGTCATGTTTTTTCCAAAGGGAAACTTTACCTTGCTAATCTGTCATGTTTTTCCATTTTTCCAAAGGGAAAGTTTACCTTGCTAATCTGTCATGTTTTTCCATTTTTCCAAAGGGAAACTTTACCTTGCTAATCTGTCATGTTTTTCCATTTTTCCAAATGGAAAGTTTGTTTTACTAATTTGTCATGTTTTCCAAAGGGAAACTTTACCTTACTAATCTGTTATCTGAATGATGGAAAAAGTACACTAGATTTTTAAAAAGCTTTTGATAAGATGCCACACAAAGGATTAATTAAACCACATTCGCAGGGGTTAGAGAAAGAATAGTTCATTGGATTGTACCGAGTTTGAATGGGAAAAAGCAAAAGGTTGTTGTCAATGGAGTCCAGTTAAACTGGCATTCTTCTCAGTACAATACATTTTTGCTCTGGACACCATTTGTTTCATATAAAAAGAGGTTCAGTTAGCATGGTAATGTGTTTACCTGTGAAGCCTACAATGGAAGCATAAACAGGTAGGAGGAATACTATATCTTGTACTTGTAGTGGAAACCTAAAAAGAATAATGATTCACAAACCTGTCAAATCAGAATCAGTGGGCAATCAGAGGAATACTATATCTTGTACTTGTAGTGGAAACCTAAAAAGAATAATGATTCACAAACCTGTCAAATCAGAATCAGTGGGCACTAAGGGAGAACTGAATAACGAACTAAACTGTCCCATGGTTAGAGCTTAACAATGAGAACAGTGCGATGGAAACACCAATGAAAATAGAAAACAAATTAAGATGTTTACCACACTGGTTGGAGCTGTGAGACATCTACTGAGAACAGGTATCATGCCTCAGATATTTCTAATGACAAGCAAGAATGTGAACATAATGAAAAGAAAGGTCCTACAAGCCATTATCAGCTACTAGATGACATCCTCCATCTACTTACAGAGAGTATCAGAGAGAGTGGAATTGTATCTAGGATAAACACAGTTTTAAATAACATGTGCCTCAACTAGATAAATTCATACAAGCAACAAAAAAATGAAAAAACTCAGTATGATGTAGGGATGGCAATGCCAAGAAGTACAGAAACAAAGTAGTGATGAATACACAAAATCATATGGAAAATCCCTACTTAAGCAGCCAATAAGTACTCAGTTAATCTTACAATATTATGGTTATTAGCAACTGTAAGGCTGTATAACACTATTCAGTTTAAATGTTTTTATTCAAACCTGAATTCATGCAACTGTTATTTTTTGGAAAGTTTTGGCTACTTATGTAGTGTTTTTGTAGAGTTTTGTGTGTTCATCTCTACCTTGTTTCTGTCCTTCTTGGTACTGCAAAATTTTTTATTACGTGTTTCCCCTCTATTTTTTTTAACAACTTCATTGAAGTAGGGTTAATAAGCGAACAAGTTTTATTTTTATATTAATTATAATGCATATTGTTAATATCAAACCAGTTTTGTCAGTCTCCAGGATGTTACACATACCCTGGAGCACTTTAACGATGTTAATGGGATATTTACAGAACCCAGGCCTACTAACTTCACCCAAACTTACTGCATTTGCATGCAATCGACTCCATCACATGCTAAGATCATGTTGATTAATAGGAAGAACATCATTCATATCCTAGGCCATGAAGTATGATATCATGCATACACACACAGTTTCCAGGCTCAGCCCCACTGAATATATTGTTTAGATAAGTTAACATTTTCTTACTCTGAAAAAGTATTTCCAATAGTTAATTACCTCTTCTCACTCAAAGCTATCTTGATCCTGGTCTGTTCTCTAAGCAGTGCTAATAACATTTTGCTACAGCACACCAGTCTTTATACTCCCCATCAGTTTTGCACCCTTTCAGAACATGCTGATCATGTGACTACTCTCCACCAATCGTACTGCAACATCTATACTGGCACAGCTAGCTCCCTCTCCTATTCTAGAACAATCCTCACTTTCAAGAACTGGCAGGCACAAACCTTAAACACTGGCACTTCAGTGAAGAGTGGAAAGTGGGTGAGAAGTGGTCAGTACTTATTGGAAATACATTTTCAGAGTAAGAAAATGTGAACTTCCAAAATTGTACTACTTCTTCCCACCCAAAGCTAGAATCCCACAATGCCAAGGTGGAGGAGCCAGTGAAGGTGCATCAATCTCAAATCAAGTGGAAAGAGACTGTACTTAAAGACCAGGTGTGCTAGAATATAAAAACAAAGTACACCAGTGGAGTACAGCTCTACTTCTAGAATAGGAATGCTCTTCACCCAACAATCAATACAGTAACACAATTGGGGCAGAAATAAATTGACAGACACCACTGAATCAGTATAGGAAGTGCTGGATAACTATGACATGAATCAGTATGGTGTCAACTAACATGGAAAGGCTCTTGTGCATGCAACCACTTCCTTTATATGCCAAGTGCAATCCATCCAAGCAAAACATCCAGTGGAAATGCCTTGTATAAGATATAGCAATGAACAACTGCAGTCAGCCCAGGCAAAAACATCCAGGAGAAGTGCCTTAGATACGTAGGAGTATGAAAGATATAAATTACTGTTATAAATGCAATTGTGATGTCCATCATAACTAGCCCTCTGTCCACATCAAAATTAAAACAAGTCATCGTAAGAAACAAGACATAGCACTGAACATAGTGATAGTAAATCATAGAACGGTGCCAGTAAATGAGCTAAAGAGAAAAAATAACAATACGTGGCAAGGGCTTAAGGACCATGAAATGTGTTTCAGCAGGCCAAGTACAGTCCACCCAGCAAAAAACATC